CCCATCTTTCACCCAGTGGTCACCTGGACGCACGGAAACCGTCGGGTCCCTGAAGCTGGAGGACGCAGTGCCTTAAGTCAGCGCGATCCCAGAGGCTGGGGATAAAAAATCCAGCAAGGTTACTGCGGAGGCTTTTGAACAGGGGTGTGCACTGTGCATGCAAACCTGAAGCACCAGCGCTGATGACCCTTCCCGACCCGGCACCTGCAGGGGACGCACGGCCCCAGTGGCCTCTCGGACACGGCCGATGCGGGGGTCCCGGGGACGGGCGCGCCAGGCCTCTCGGGAGAGGTCTTTTGGGGGCTCAAGGTCCTCTGGCCCTTTCCCCATCCCCTTCTACCGCTGGTGCATCCCCGTCACCCTGCCTCACCGAAGCCGGGTTGAGACCGACCACCTCCGAGTAAGGTCTCGGGTGACCAGAGCCCGAAAAGAAGCGGGGGACCGCTGACGTTACTTCCGCTTCCGCTGGGGCATCAGCCACGTTGGACCCCTCCAGGGAGAGCAATTCCAATTCCCTCCCTTGAGGGTGCAGGTGAACCCCATAATGGGCTCATCCAGGGGAACTGAGGTAGAAAGAAGTCCTGCGCCAGAGGCTCAGCTTAGAACCGCTTCTCCGAGCAGGGATGTGGGCGGGGCAGGGGCGGGACCCAGGGCTGGGGGAGGAGCCTGCGGTCGGGGGCGGAGTCGGGTAGGACCACGCCCCCTCCAGCTCGGTGCGGCTGGAGAAACCAGAAAGGCAAGAGTGGGGGTGGGGAGGCACGCCTAGAATGCGCACAAAAGCCTTTCTGCCTGCCTCTCCCCACGTTCCAAGGGGCCTGTACGGATTTGCCGTACTCATAAATCTGCCAATCCAAGGGATGCTGCCTCCCCCATCCCACCATTCCTGCATCTAGACTGTTCCTTGAGCCTTTTTTATGTCTGCATGTCATGACACCATGCTGACATTTTCGTCGTCGGTTCCATTGTGTGTGCAACATAAGGGTGTTTTTTGTAAATCCAGAATTGTTTTCTTCTTCTTTTTATTCTTGTCAGCATTTTTTGTTCTATTTGTTAAAAGCATGTACAACCGAGGCTAAAAAAGAAATCAAACAGAAATGAATGTACGAGGACAAGCCATCCTCTCCCCAGTCCCACTCCCAGGAGTTCCCATCTAGAAATGTTCTGTCCATATGTGAGCGTAAATATTTCTCATTTTTCAGTATTAGTAAGAGGATCTTGAATATACAACGAGGAAGAGGAAATGGAAATACAAAGAAAGAATGGTAAGAGAGGACAGGAGCCAGGAGATCGGCAGGGATGGACGAGAGAGGGGAAGACGAGGCCGCACAAAAGGATCCGCAGTTTTATCCTCGCCCTCTCTTGCAGTCGCCCTTTGTATGTGTGGGAATAAGATTAAGAGGAAGAAATGGGAAGGCCGAAAGGGATGAGACTCGCGGGGGCAGGGGAACGGTGAGCCACTGGGAATTTTGAACCCCATGTGTGTATTACTTGAATAAACTTCTTGGTATTGCTAAAAAAATAAAAGTAAAAAACGCATATGGAATCATATTAGCGAATGTGTAGTTTTCATTGCTTGGAATTTAACCATACGACCTAACTAAAGCCTTTCCTCCTAGATTACAAATCAGCAATGATAACATTCTTCGATTGTGTGGCAATGGTCCTTAAGTTTCTTTTCTCCGGGAATTATGTTCGAGGTCAGCCTGGGCAACTTGTCAAGAACCTGTCTCACAGTAAGAGGGGTTTTTTTTGTTTGTTTGTTTTAAGGGGGCGGTGGTTAGGTTTGTATCCTAGCGCACAGCGCTGGCCTAGCGCGCCAACGGCTGGGTGGGGATGGGGGTGGGGTCTCCACTCCATCCTCTCAAACTCTAAAGAGAAAGAGTAAAGCCACCTCAAGCTTTAGATTATATACAGATTTCCTAGGTGGGTTCCCCCCACCTCACTGAGCTCTATGTTATCCCCACCCCCACCCCATGCCTTGAGTATGCACGACAAGGGCTCTACCCATGTTAAAAGTAACATGTGTGTTGGAACCTGGTATAGCATGATGGATCTAATTTTATTTTTCTCCAGAAAGATGACTGATTGTTGCTTATTTGTTTGTTTGTTTATTGTTGTTGGATGTTGCTTATTTGCAAACTATCCTTGACTGGAAGGTTTGAGATTCTGTGTTGATTAAATAAAACAAAATGGGGCTGGGGAGATGGCTCAGTAGAATAAGCGCTTCTCTGGCAAGGGCCTGAGTTCAATCCCCAGTTCTGCCAATAAATAAATAAATAAA